AGTATACTGCATATACACATATGTGTGCATATCGCATACATACACACACACACAAACATATACATATACACATATATATATGCATATATATATACATATATACATATACATATACATACATATATATATATATATATATATATACATACATACACATACACACATGCATATGATATAGTATAATAATATTATAAATTAAATTAAATTTATAAACGAATAAAACTATATATATATATACATACATAAAAATAAATACAAAATAACAAGAGTAAAAAAATCACAGAAACCTTAGTTTGTATTATATTTTGATATGTAATGCTTTTTAAGGTTTTTACGGAATACTGGAAGAGATATACATTTTTTAAAGTTGTCATCAAGACCATTCCATAGACGTGGTCCAGATAAGGAAAGAAAATGTTCAGATAACCTAAGTTTAACATAAGGAATATGAAGTAACCAAAGTTTGTTTACAATACGTAAATTATACTTGTGGGATAAGGGTTTGATTTTAAAAAGATTAGCAATGTTTGGTGGAAGTTCGTTATGAAAAAACTGAAAAATATAAGAGGCAATTTGCATTTTGTGTAGGTCTAGATCATTTAATTTGAGTATGTTTAATTTTTTAAAAAGAGGTTCGGAGGAAGTGATGTGGGAAGAAAATGTAATAAAATGAACAGCTTTTTTTATTAACGTATTTAGGCTGTGGAGGTTGGAAGGATAATCGCCCGCCCAAATTATATTGCAATACAAAATATATGGTTGTATTAAGGTGTTATATAAAGAAAGCAAAATGTTAATTGGAAAGAACTTACTCTACTAATAACACCAATTGTTTTGGATATTTTTTTTTGGTGATTGGTCCACCTCAAAGATTCATGAATATAGACACCAAGAAATAATATTTCAGTTTTGCGTTCAATTTGTTTCCCATTGATATTAATGTGAAATGCAGAAAGATTTGTCTTCCTTTGTTTGGTACGAAAAAGGATGTAGTTGGTTTTTTATATTAATCATAAGTTTATTTGAGGTGAACCAATCAGTAATTTTGATTAATTCAGTATTAACAGTGTTGAAAAGAGTATTTATATCAGGGTTTGAATAGTATAATGTGGTATCTTCAGCAAACGGGACGACGTTTAAATATAAACTTGAGTAATAAAGGTCATTAATAAAAATTTAAAATAAATGAGGTCCTAGAACAGAACCCTGTGGAATGCCACAAACTACATCGTTTACTGTCGATTTAAAAGAGCCAAGAGTAACATATTGTTTGCGACTTTGCAGATAAGTTTTGAACCAATTTATAGCGGTTCCCCTTATGCCATAATTATACAGTTTATGAAGTAATATTTTATGATTAATAATATCGAAAGCTTTTGATAAATCAATAAAAACAGATAATAAATAAGATTTCTCTTCGAAAGAATGTATAATGTTATTGAGTAGGTCTACAGTAAGATGGCATGAGCAGTAGAGTGGTTGGGACGAAATCCATATTGATGTGAATAAAGAATTTTGTACCTTGTTAAAAAATTATATAATCTTTGGTGCATTAATTTTTCAATGATTTTGGAAAAGATACTCAGTTGGGAAATAGGTCGATAATTTGAAGTTTGATCTTTATCACCTTTTTTTATATAGAGGTATAACTTTTGCAATTTTTAATAAGTTTGGAAAATGACCAGAAGTAAAAGAACAGTTTATGGAAAATGTTAATTGATTTAGTATATAAGGGGCAACTTGTTTAATTGTTGGGGACGAAACATTATCAAATCCAGATCCTTTATTTGGATCCAACTTATTTATAACTGAGATTACTTCTTCGACACTAACTGGGTCAATAAAGAAGGAAGATACTAGTGGAGTGGATCGATATTGGAGTCTGGTATGGAGTTAGACAATGTAGTACCAATTTGGGAGAAATATTTATTAAAGGAATCACAAATTTTTTGCTGAGATGTTAATATATCTGAACCGTATTGTATTATTGTGGGAAATGTTTTCTTGTGTTTCCCAGGATTTAAAACTGAGTTTATTACGTTCCATGTTCCTTTAACACGTTGAAATTTATTTAAAAAATATCTCCTTTTGGCAGTCCGACATAGTTTGATATAAAGGTTTTTACGTTTTATGTAAATTTCTTTATGTTGGACGTTTTGTGATTTAATGAATTTATTATAAAGTTTGTGTTTAGTCATGTTACTTTTGATATGACCACGGGTCATCCAAGGTTGTTTAGGTTTATGCGTTTTAGCCTGAGGTTTTAGATTTGTAAGATGCTTATTATGAAAATTATAAAATTTATTTAGGAATAAATCAAAAGTAAACGAAACGTTGGACTGATAAACATCTGACCAATCTTCCTCAATTATATCGCTATTTAATTCATTCATATCTTTAATAAACATATTATTATCATCAACTATATTTTTATTATGATAAGTATCATCATCTATTATATTGAAAATAGGTAAGTTATCTGATGCATCAAAAATTAAAACACCAGAATAAATGTTATGATTAATTATATTTGTATAAATATGATCAATAAGGGTTGCTGAAGTAGGTGTAATTCTAGTGGGTTTAGAAATTTTTGGATAAAATGAATGAGAAAAGAGTAAGTCAATGTAATTATTAATGGAACTATGTTGTTGTGTTAAATCAATATTTATATCACCTGTTAAATGACAGCTTTTATTTTCCAAATTTATCTTGTTTAAAACTAAGTTAATTTCTTCTGTGAAATGTTTCACATTTCTATCAGGTGGGCGATAAATTATACCAACTATGTTAATTTTCTTATGAATATTAATTATTTCAATGAAAAGTGATTCATATGGAAGGGAAAGCGATAAATCATTTCTGATTTTAACATTAAGATTGTTATGAACAAAAAAGGCTACACCTCCTCCAATTCCAGTTTTTCTGTTTTGCGCAAAAAATGAATAATTGACAAGGAATGGATTTGGTGTGGTACTATTTAACCAAGTCTCGGATAAACCAATTAACGAAAAATTCAAATTTAATGAATTTAAAAATTGTTCTAAAGAGTCAATTTTGTTTGTTAAACTTCTAATATTTAAGTGAAAAAGTGAGAGTTTGTCATTAAATGATTTATCAAATTTGTCATTGAATTGATTAATAGTGAAATATGAGCAATCATCAAGTGTGCATGAAATGGAGTTTAACTGATTAACAAGACTATCTGATTGATCATCAAACTTGTCGAATGCAGTGTTAGTAAGGGGATTAGTTAATATGCTAGTTGCATCATTATTTATAACGGTATCAGAATTAATATCAAAAATATGGAACGGTAAATGAGAAAAATCATTTTGTGGCATTGCAAAACAAAGATAACATTTTAGGTTCTGCGTTTAAAACTAAATGTAAATAAGAGTAACTTAAATAACTTAAATAAAAAAAGAAAAAACATAAAAAAACATGCAATACAGAAAAACAAACACAAATACAACACAGGTTAATATACAAATGTAGCATAGTGCTTTAGTATTTAATACACACATGCAGCAGCTCAGACTTTGCATCAGGAATGCCAAGACAATAAAAATGCAAATTTTCAGGACAGCAAGGAATACATGAAGCCATTTTGTAAATTAATAATCTTGGCTATTTCATGAGTAATGAAAATATAAAGGTATAAGTAAAATATTTAACTTGTAATCAATAAGGCATAGTGTCCTTATAATTATATTAAATATTAGTGCAAAAATGATACGTAGTATGGGCGTGGAGTTTTAAAGTTAAAGTTTTAACCTTGTAAATTTCTCCTGATGAAGTTCGCCACTTCCCTGCATAGAATCTCAATTTTTGTGCCGTGGTCGTAAAGGTACTTAACTTCGGCTTTCCATTTTCGTTTTTCTGCTAGATCCAACGGAGTAAGGTCATCAATAGTATAATATCCTTTTCCATTTAAGACGGCCTTGTTTTTTAATACATGAACTTTACTTTTGTATGATAGAATTTTTACTAAAATATGTGAAGTTTCTCGCCCTCCGTCTCGATGAGCACGTTCAATGATTGGTGGGGTTTCAAACTCAAAGTGCTTTAAAATATCTTGAATGATTTCTTTACAGTTTTCAACATTGTTAGTACGTTTAACACCTACAATACGCAGGTTATTTCTTCTAGAGAATCGTTCATTTTTGTTGATAAGTTCTTTGAGCCTACTGAGTTCTCCATTGAGCTTTTGAATCTCCTGATCCTTTATTTCACTTGCAATCTCGATGGTATCAATGCGTTTTGATAGAGCAGAAACGTTATTCGATATATTGTCTAATTTTTCTTCAAGATCTGCTTGACCCTGCAATATCTCAGTAATAGTTTTTCTTACGTAGCTTTCAATTTCACTTGGGACTGATGTCGATCCAGAGCGAGTAGACCTATTCATGGTTGGTATTATACACGGAGTTTAATAATAGAAAGATTGTCATGCGAGCTGCTGCACAAGACGCATCCTACTCCAAGGAAAGCATTTTCTAATAAAGAATAGAGACTGGGGAATTGTCTACCTATGTGCTGCCCAATCACCACCAGAGGACCCGCTAGAAGTCTTCAGACCTCTACCTAGGTGGCATGACCATAGGAGCAGGTTCACATTTGCCCTGCCACAGACGAATGTGTGCTCAGAAACTGCGGCAGAGATAATGGTTCCAAGAGACATTACAATCACAAAATTGAAATATAAGCATGACAAAGTGAAAAAGGTGATTTATGATTTAGAAAAAAGATGTTTTTTGAGCAAGGCCTTAGAGGACTCAACTGAGTCAGCACAACAAATATGGAGAGGAAGTTCATTCCAAAGCCTGGAGCTACAGATGAAAAGGCTCTCTGGCCATAGGTAGTGGTTGAAGTCATGGGTATTTGTAAAAGTATTTTTATTATTATATTCCCAGGCTTTCTCAGTTTTTGTATACTCTTGTTTTTTTTAATAGTACTCGTGGTAAGCATATGTTGTTATACTATTTATTTCATTGCAGGTGCTGAATATAATCATTCAGAAGAGTATCTAGCGGAACCTGAAGGCTATGATGGTTGGTACAATAACTTAGCACATCCAGATTGGGGTGGTGCAGGTAAGATTTTAGTCTGATAATCCAATAATTTGGTACTTTAGGACTAGGGTTGGTGCAGGTGAGTTTGTTTTTATACTATAGCTTTCATGCAGACTGTAGCATGTGGGCTAAATATATGTTCTGGTACAATAACTTATACCAGAAACAATATCCCCATCCAGAAATCCGTTCCATAGTAAGAAATGTATACGCAACTTTAAAAATTGTCTAAATAAGCCAACAATTAACTGTTAATAGGCTAAAAGAATACTAAAATTGCAAAAGAAAGTGTAAAGGGATGCAACTGGAGTGGAGTTGAATAGCTTAGTTGTTAAGATGCTTGCCTTCTAATCCCAGGGTCCTGGGTTCAATTTCTGACAACAGGACTTTTTTCATAACTAAAAACAACTCCACTCCCTAAGCCTCATAAAGAGACTTCGCTGATAAAATGCATATCGTTATTTCATTTATTTAAGAGGGCCCCTGAATATCGGCCGACGATCTAGGATAGGTTGGAAGCGTCAGCTTTTATAAATATGGTTGAAAAACAAAAACGCAAAACACATTTTCTGCACACCTCAATACCTCTTTTTACTTCATCAAAATCACAACATTTTTAATATTTTTGAAAACAATATTGCAATATTTATGTTAAATTATTTAAGGCGAAATATACCAAATATTTTTAATGAATTATTTATAACTACAAGATGTACATAATACTAGATAGATTCCTAAGAATAGAACAAATTACTGCAGAGCAACAAGTATCTCACACATGCCCAAAAATCTGGGATAGCTTTACACCAAAATGAAAAAAGCAAAACTAATGCACTTTTACTATAGAATTAAAAGAACAGTTCATTGAAAACAACATAAAAAAAACTTAGCAAATGCCATATACGTGATAACATTTTCTATCAAAATTTGATAGATATAGATATACTTAAATACAGCAGGCAATTGTACATACAATTAATTATATTTATTTGATATCACTTGTGGACATTATATATACGTGTTCATTTACATTATACATTTAAATGTATATGAAAATTAGTGTTTGTTTTAGGAAGGTGTGTGCAATATTGTATATGTATATGTGTGTGTGTGTTTATTTTTGTATAAATTTTCTTTAATGCTACATATGTATAAAGCATATTTATGCTTGTTTGTGTATACAGTTTCATTTATCAGTTAGGACTATTGCTTCTGTATTTAATAAACAACTTGTAGTGATTGTAAGTCAGTAAATGAATAAATCAAATTGAATTGTAATGTTATGTTATGGTATAAGTTCCATCAGGTAAAATTTAATTGAAATACAAATAAAATGGTACAATGTGTTTCTGATGATTCATTTACCCCCAGAAATGGCTTTGACTAGAAGAATACCCCCTGCTTATGTTGATGGTGTCTACTATCCTTCAGGAGAAGATCGACCAAATCCATTTACCATTAGCGACAATACTATGTTTGGTGTAACTGGCAGTGGCTCTGTTTTAAATAGAACAGCCTTTATGACATTTTTTGGTACGTATTCTTTACTAAATATGCCTATAGTAATTAATGGTGTACATGATATAGGATTGTTATTGCTAAACCAAGGCAGGTAGAATAAGAAATACAGTATATAAGGTACCATTAGCCAATATAAAGAATTAAAGAGATAATTATTTCGATCATTCTTTATATGCATTATAAAATATACAAAATAGATCATTTTCAAAGACTAGGACGCCGACCAAATCAACAGGCTTATGCAGGCAAAATGTCAAATTCATAAGAGCATATTACAAGAACAAAACAAAAACATTAAAGTAATAATTTGCAATAATTATTAAAAATTTAGACTTTATAAGTTTATTTTACTATTATAAGGCCTATTTTCTGTTCCAAGCATGACCTCATTAATTTATCTATGGCAAGTTCCTCACATTTTATTAATTGAATATAATATAAAAATATTACTATAATAGATAAATTTAATTTTACATTACCAAAATAAAACGAGCAGTGGCGTAGCTAGAGGGGGGGTGGTCAAAGGAGGACGTGCCCCGGGCGCCACTTTTGAGGGGGCGCTGAAATGGGAGAATTAGAGTAAAAAAATAAGTACTTTTTAGAAAAACTTTACAAATTGATGTATTTCGTCAGGCATGAATATTTTCCAATTAATAATAAGAATCTGAATGTAGTTGTTTTTATTGGCAAATTTATAGATTGTGATTTCTTTTCAGTCCATTTTGACCGTTTTCTCTTGTTTTTTTATCCTATTCTGTAATGACTACATGACTAAAGCCCATCCTGCCATATCTTAGAGACGCGATGGGAAAAGCGAGACTATCTGCTTTGGCACTACTTAGTGAGCGTGATGAAGCGGACAAAATTGCTAACTTTGATCATGTTATTAACTTATTTGCTGATACAAAAGCACACAAAATTCATTTGCAAGTTTAAACAATATTAAAAATTCAGCAACTTGCAAGACTCTATTATAAGATAAATTTAGAGAATAAGAATACCGAGATATATATGACAAATACAACAGCCTTTCAAATTAGATAATGGTAAAGTTGTATACAAAGTTCTGAACATTGTAATGCAGTTTCAATAGTAAGAAACAGGGATGGCGTCATGGCTGCCTTCGGGGATAGCTGCACCTTCCCCCCCCCCCCCTTCGTCAGGGGAGAAAAACCATAATTCGCTGGGGAGAAAAAAACAATTATATGTATTTTGTAAATAATATTACTCTAAAATGGATTCAATAAGCCTTTGAAACCCATAAATTGTCAACAAATTTCCGGGACTTGCCCCCCCTCCCCAGGCCACTTTCGGAAGATTGTAAACGATGCTCGATCATGCCCACTTTGCACTCTTCAAGGAAATCTTCCCCCTCGTCGGGGCGCCATCCCTGGTAAGACAGCTAGAACATACGAGAGCTAGAATAATAATAATTATTCGGGTTTGAATAATGTTATTTAGACAGTGCATTATATGGACGTCCCAATGGACGTACAGTACGCATACGCTTGAAGTCTATACAACCAATATCAATTAATTTCAAAATATTATAATTATAATTGGGGGAGGGGGGGCCGGAATTTTCCACTCTTGCCCCCGGGTGCCAAAACCTCTAGCTACGCCACTGAAAACGAGGTGCTGTAAAGCAGCCACATGTCAGTGACATTGAGCCAGCAGCCCAGCACGATGACATTACTACAAAGGTTGAGTTAATAAGATCATGATAAGATATTGTTACTGTTTTTGTAGGTCAGCAAGTTGTTGAGGAGATTCTTGATGCCCAACGTCCTGGTTGTCCTCCAGAATATTTCAATATTCCAATTCCAGAGGGCCATCGTTACACAAAGTACATACCTTTGAAGGAAATGCCATTTTTGAGATCAAGAGTTGATCAAAATACAGGTTACAATCCCAATGTGCCAAGAGAACAGGTACGTTAAAAGTCTTGCAATAGAAATGATATGTGTATCAATCAACCAAAATCATTCATTGTGACCAAATGTGAAACAAGCATACATGATAAAAATATATTGGAAGATTAAAAGGAATGAAAAAAAGTTAAAAAAAAAACAAAAACAAACAAACATAAATTAGCTTTGAAATGCCCGTCCCAAAGCTAGTGTCACTAGAAAGGGCAAGGCCTACTGGCTACAGTAGGCTGAGGCTGGACCTATCCTAGGCTAGGCCTTATATACTGGTCAGCAAAGAGTTTGGTATGCAAAAACCGTATATTTTTCATTATTGGATTGAATTTGATGTAAACACCAAGACCCACGGAAGTCTGAATGAATGATTAATAAATGATTTTATAGAAATAATGATATAGTCCAAAAACAAGGGGGTGGGGCGAGTCGAGTGGCCAAGCGGTAAGGCAAAGGCGCCGTTAGCTACAGCCTTAACATCGGCGCTGGTTCCAGCCGCTCCTCACCCATGGTTCGGTTGGTTGCATCTTTCGGAAGCCAGGGGCGGATTTAGAGGGGGCTTAACAGGCTTTAGCCCCCCCTAAAATTTCATAGCCATTTCTTTTTAACTGCTTTTTGAAGGTCCAAATTAAAATATTGTTTAATGTTTTCTTCACACACATCATATTTATGGGCTAAACATTTTACAGTAGTTGTTTATCTGCAAAAGAGCAGTCAAAAGTACATGCACACTACTACTACCCCCCCCCCCCGCCGGGGGGGGGGGGGGGGGGACATGGTATCGATTGCCCCCCCCCCCACTTTTCACCAACCTTCTATAATTAAAACCCCACTTTTACAAGCGAATGGAAAGAATAACAATTACGCATGACTCATGAATTTTGTCTGTTCACTTTTCTAAATGCGGTACGTATTTTCCAGACCAAAACCAAGTAAAAACGCAATTGTTTAAACATTTTGTAACCATCTCAGAAACCCACTAGATTGATTTTATGGGTGCAACGACTATCAAATGCTAAATGTTGTTGAAATTAAAAGCATGTGTCCTTATTAGGCCATTATTTTTACAAACTCAAGAGTGCACAATTTCTAATATAATAATATAAACGATTTATTCTTTTTGTATATTATTATGACCCGTACGTATATACTAGTGTTTAATATTATCTACATACATAAGATTACTGTTTTTTCTAATTCAACGGATATGATGTCTACCTAAATCGATTAAGTGATAAGCCTACCAAAAGTTTACAAACTCCAGTGTTACGTTGACGCAGTCTCGCAATGACGCCATAATAATCAGTGGCAGATTCAAGTGGGGCCGAGCCGGCAGTAATTTTTTCAAAATTATTTTTTAAAAATGGAAAAAAAAACAAAGGAAAATTAGAATTAGAATTTAGGTCTGAGAGTGCCATTTCCGGCAACCTAGAGGTGCCATAATCATAAATTTTCTTACCTCAGCCCCAACCATAGTGGGGCTGAGGTGGTAGTCCAGCTACACTCTCCATCTGTAAAAGTCTCTCTCTGGGCCCAGCTCTATTTCAAATTACTGGATCCGCCACTGGATATTTTAAAAATTTTGTATGGAAATAAATGTTAATTGCATTGCTTAAAATCAATTAAAAGGTTTTATGCGCCAGAGCTTCCGGGGCTTCGCCCCCTGGTCCCCAACCATTGCTTGGGCCTACGGCCCAAGGCTTTATTTTTCATCTCGTTCCCCCCACTTTCAGCCACGGATCGATGCCCTTGGGTCAGAGGCAGGTATTTAAACGTTTGCATGATACACTAAACATTTCCTGTCGAGAGTGTTGTTCCAGTTTTGTTTTTTCTTGATTGATTGTCGTCGTATACTACTACTACATTTAAAACATATTTTAAGGGGAATTCTTTTGTCGTCTGAGGTTCTCCTTAACATTGTCAAATTTTATCTTTAGGGACAGTATTTTTATTATGGAACTGTTTTCACCCTCTCCATTGTCTTATGTTCCCCATGGCAACCCTTTCACCAGGATTTTTAAAGAATGGCGAAATTTCAGAAAATTTTAAGGGTGGTGCACAAAATTCTAAAGGGTGGATACAAACAATTACTATTTTAGTACATAGCAAGTCACACGCTAAGTCTGTTTATTGACCTTGCATTTGCATTAATATTTTTTTGAAGCAATATTTTAAGCATGGCTTATAATTTGCCTTTTTAATATTTTTATTTAAATTATGTGGTTTCTGTGAGTATCCTACGTGAAAAGATATTTTTATCTGCCATTAAAGATCCTAGTTAATCGTTTCTCATATTATTAATTTATTTACATATATTCTTGTTATAATAATGATTTACTATAAATATTGTTTAACATTTACGGAAATAAATGTTGTTTAATGAATGAATAATTATTCAAATCCACTTGCACTTGACAAAAACAACTAGGCATCAGTTATTATT